GGACCTGTTGTGCTCATTTTCAGGTTTATATATGTATTGTGTTCCTCTAGTCCACAGTGACATGTCTCCATGCTTTAATGCTCAAAAAGATCTTTATTTTCCTCATACTGCCTGTGCTGCAGCACCTCTTTTCACCCTCTGTCTGAAGCCAGAGCCCAGTCTGCTCTGATTGGTTAGCTGGCCGGCTCTGTTGTGATTGGTCAACCGCTTAACAATGTGTTGGAGTGCTAACCAATAGAAGCTCGGATGTCACTATGTCGCCAACATAAAAAAGGAATCCAATGGATGGCAGGGTAACTTTGGGATTTTAGCCTTTGCAGACCATTTCCATGAACAAAAACCTATATAACACACTACAGGAAATTAAAAACCGCAAAAAGCTTAATAGGGCCTCTTTAAAGTGTGGTACAGCAAGAAAAGCATATCCTGTATCAAAGTGTTACTTTGGTGATTTTCAATGGTGTCATGTAGATTTTTGCATTTAAAGTCATTACTTTAAGGCCTGTGCAAACCTTTATATCCTGCATAAGCTGACAGCCATGTGTAAAAACATCCAGTTTCTCAGACTGCGAGGTATTGTTGTTCAGCGCCACATTTGGACGATTTTTTTTCTCACTTCCTGCAGACTCAGCATGGATGTGATGTGTGTCGTCCACATCGTCTCTGACACCTTTTCGGCTCTGCTGCTCACAATGCAACCCACATATGTTTGGATCACGTTGCATAATGCAGTGATGTAAGCGTGCTGAACACTCACATTATCCGCTCGCTGCTGACTGACTGATGGCCCGTCCACATGAGGGGGGGGGGGGGGGGGGGGGGGGGGGGGGCAGCCAGTGATAAAGAGCTCGACAGAGTTTTAATTAATGGCGTCTATCCAAGGTCAGAGTCATCATGTCACTGAGCTGTGGACCCTGAATTGATTGATCACATTCTGCTCTCACAGTCACATGTCCAGTCAGGTGACATTGATCGGGTTCTGTGGCCTGTGATAACGCTCCAGATACAAGATCTAGCCCGCCTTTTATTGTTTATTCATCCAGCCACTTATTATCACTCCATTCATTAATGATCCATCCATTAATGCATCTGTTTTTGTACCATCTATCCATGCATACATACGTCCTTTTAGTCACTCGTCATTGTTTTGAACATTCAACGATCCATCCATCCATGCATACATACTGTATGTTACATATGTCATTTGACCCATTCCACCATTCATCGACATCCTAGTATCCATTTAACTATCCATCCATCAACTATTATGCATCCATTTAACCATCCATCCATCATATAACACATTCAACCATCCATTCATACATGCATACAGTATATCCTTATAACCATTCGACCATTGGTCCATCCAACCATTGGTCATTTTTCCCATTTAACCATCCGTTATTGGTTTTAAACATTCTAGCATCAATTTAACCATCCAATCATTCATTTTAATCCGTCCATCCACGTAATACATACATAAGTTTACACATTCAACCATCTATTCCTGCATACATATATCCTTTTAACCATTCTACTATCCGTCCATCCAACCATTGATCATTTAACCCATTTTACCATTCATTATTGGTTTTAAACATACTAGCATTCACCCATCCATCCAACCACCTATCTATCCATTTATCCTTAATTTTACCCATCTGTAATTCATCCATCAAATATTCTTTAACCCATAAACCATTATCCATTCAACTTTCCATTCACCCTTTTACCCCACCGAGCATTACAAATCCATCCCCTACTTTACCTATTCTTAGACTTTACACATCAATTCAACCACCCACTGATGGTTCTACCCAATACTCCCTTCCATTAGATCACTCATCCATCCACCCAGTTATCCATCATTCATTCAGTCATCTATTTATCGATTATCAATCCTTTCACCCCTCTATCATTCATTCAACCATCCAATAATTAATGGGTTTACGCATTCATCTATCAACCCACCAGTTCAACCAATATACCTTTCATCCATCCATCATTTTACCCACCATTCACCCATTCATTTATTCACCCTGTTGAAGCCATTTTGCATTTCTATATTATTTATATTTATAATGAAATATTATGAATGTTTTGTATAGGTTTTATTATTTATATGTATTATTGTTTTGATTGATGCCGACTATCAATGTATTATTATGGTGACGTCACATAGGCCTGATTTTGGCCATTTAATAGACGACAGGTGACAGGTGCTCACGATGAGTGGAAGGCAAACAATTTATTAACCGTACGATAGAGACCGCATAGTGAATGAGAAAATGTACCCAAGATACGCCGTATGGCTTCGAATCTTTTGTTTAAGAGTTTTGTCTGTTTTTCTTTAAATAAACGGCGATACCTGATCATTAAAGTGGATGCGCGTTGATTTTTCTGACCGCCCATTACACACCCAATCATTCAATCACACATCCAACCAATCATATGAAAGCATATACTTGTGACTTAATCATTAAACAAAATCTTAAACATTGGTCATGGTAAATAAATTAGCCTGCAGACAATATCGTTTTTTTTTACTGGACATATTTTATATTTTATTCCATTCGATTTCAATGTAAATACTGCTATATTTTATTTCACTATATTTTGTATTATTTTTGTAATGTTATTATAGTGTTTTTAAAATAGTTCTCTATCTGTGTTTTTTATTTTATGTGTATGTATGCAACACGACACCAAGGCAAGGCACTTTATTTATATAGCACCTTTCAACACAAGGCAATTCAAAGTGCTTTACAAAAATGAAAAACATTAAGAAAATGGCATTTAAAAACAGTCATTAAAAAGCAAAGACAATAAAATAAACATTAAAAGTCAAATTCCTCGTACGTGTCAACCTGGAAATAAACCCGTTTCTGATTCTGATAGCATATAGGAAGGCTACACAACTTTATAAGAGTATAACTTATAGGCTTAAAAGAAAAAGAAAACAGAATGTTCTCCCCTGATCTCCACAGAGAGGACCCTCCGTGGTACAGGGGCTCTGACAGTGAATGTATGATTACCTGCGTGGCCACGTCTGGACCTTGGATCGAGCGATGGTGAGGAAAGCACCTCTGCATGCTGATTGCCTTTTCTCTGTCTCCACAGTTTATCACTCTGCAGTCAGAGACACTCTGTCACGGCACGGCTCCAGCTGACCATCAGGGTAGTGACCCCTGAAACTGTCTTCCATTAATCACAGTTAGACAACATGCAGGGAGCCATGGTGGACGAGAAATGAAAGCTGCTGGAGGTAAATCTGGCAGGCAGCGACCATAAGGTCCGTCCGCAGGTATCGAAGCTGCTGACGATTCAGAAAATGAAGTGAAGCAATAACTCATGTCTGCATTCAAACAGATCAATGGTGCAATATGGTCGATTGTACCTTAAAAATAAAATGTAAATCATGGCTTTATCCATGCATGGTGATTATAAATATACATGATGATTAATTTCATCTTGTAAATATGGAGCCCCCTTGGAACATGGTAGCCAAGTGTCTTAACATTTCCCAAATTGGGATCAATAAAGTACCTATCTATCTATCTATCTATCTATCTATCTATCAATTCAATTCAATTCAATTGGGCTTTATTGGCATGAAAGTTAAACGAAACAATGTTGCCAAAGCATCAAAATACAAAATAATTAACAACATTAACATACATTTCACATTTTTTCATGTTATTGATATAAATATATACAGTGAAACAATTACACTTCAACGTGTGTGTGTGTGTGTGTGTGTGTGTGTGTGTGTGTGTGTGTGTGTTTCATTGGGTGCGTGATTCTGTGTGTGTGTGTGTCTCATTCACTGTCCCTCAGGTTGTGGCATGTGTATACATATTGGGCAGCAAGATGCTCTCTCTCTCTCTCTCTCTCTCTCTCTCTCTCTCTCTCTCTCTCTCTCTCTCTCTCTCTCTCTCTCTCTCTCTCTCTCTCTCTCTCTCTCTCTCTCTCTCTCTCTCTCTCTCTCTCTCTCTCTCTCTCTCTCTCTCTCTCTCTCTCTCTCTCTCTCTCTCTCTCTCTCTCTCATCCATGCTAAAGATTGCATGCTTTTGTGTTGATACCATTACTACTATGATGCTCTGAAAGGTTTTGTGATATTTTCCTTTAAGTATCTTACAACCTTAATATTTGTAATCTGAACCTGTAATAAAAACGGCCACATTGGGGCAACATACATATACTATAGCTATCACCCGTTTTATAGCAAACCTGTTAGCAAACAGTTGCTTTATTACACTTCCAACAAAGAAATTCATTTGGAGTCTCCTTGTGTTTGGCCACCTGGCAAGCGAGTCCAATATTCAGCTCTCTTTTTAGCTTTGTGTTTGGTCTCCACTAACTCCTGATGACAAATATCTGGCTCTTTAGCTGCTAAATGCTCCTCTATCTTCATTGGCTGGTTGCAAGAAAATGTCTGACTGCCGGTTTGTGTTGAGCAGGTGGATTACAGTGGATTTACAGCTTCAACTGAAAATGATGCAATCAAAGCGCGGAGGATAAACCGGAATTGGACTGAACTCTAGCCAATTTAATGTTGGTTAGGAGTTGTTGCATCGTGATCCTCATACAAGATTAACAACATGTTGATCCGCTTTGCATAACAACTGTTGCTGATGTGACTATTAGGCTAACTAGTTGTAGCATGGCACTCCATTAAAAACGCAACAAGCATGGATTGGGAAAACTGACACCTTCAGTCATCAATTAAATTACATTTATACCATATAGCCAACTAAAGACATTCATGAATGACTCATTTTTGCACCTGATATCAAAGGCCATTACAGAGGACTCTTCCAAACTCACAACCCCTTATATTCTAAAATTACATTTAAGAGAAAATCAAAGGAAGCACATTTATTCTACTATATTTGTATTTGTATACTTATTTTATTGAATGGAAGTTTACAGGGTTGCTCAGCCTGTCTTGTAAATGGAATCCTGTGTGTGTGTGTGTGTGTGTGTGTGTGTGTGTGTGTGTGTGTGTGTGTGTGTGTGCGTGCGTGCGTGTGAGTTTATTCTCCATGAAAACACTGAATTCTTAGCAGCATTAAGCAGCGCTGCACTAAAGGTTATACTAAATGCAATAAACTGGTATTACAGTAGATGTGTGTGAGCTGCTTAGTGAAGAGGACGCCATGCAGGGAAACCGTTGGCGTTGCTGATGCAGCCACATTCACCACGGAGCTTTTCACTAAGCCAGGTGAAGTCATGTTAGAGCTAAGGTTTCATTTCATTTATTTTTCATGCAGCAACTTTTTTAGAGAAACAGGTAATGACTATCACGATCACATCCAATCCAGTTTCCAAGGTTCTTACAAAATCCTATTTATAAGTGATTGTACTTGATTGATTTTTACAATTGCTGTCCCTGTTTTTGCGTTTGTCGTGATGTGATTATTTTTTTAATGTGTCTTTGTTGCCTTTACTGTGGACTAAAAAAGCTGGGGAAAGAGGTTTTTTTGTTCAGTGATATATATGTCTGAGTGTAAAAGGTAACTGGTTGATTGAATCAAAAACACAAGATGAAATGTAAAAATGTCAGATAACTCAAAACATTTCTCCCTTCAAATCTTTAATAATAACAACCTAATCAGAAAAAGCAGTTGAATAAAATGACGTCCTTTTCAGAATCTCAAAGATTTCTTTACATTTCTTCGGAGGATTTTGTTAAAATGATGTCAAAATATAGGGTTTACAGGACTGTCAGGATGCAGACCTGTTGATAGTGAATAACTCCAATGTGTCCTCCTGTTGCAGTATGTGTAGTGACTTAACCGTGCAATTTTCTGTAAAATGATCCTCTAGCACCACCTAGTGGATGACCTATAGAACAGAATCGTTTCTCTGTTTAGATTTGTCTGAATGTACACTGAATAAACAATGTCTGATGGACCAAACTGTATCATTCTTATCAGTACATATACATATGAGTCTCTAGGGGTTAATGGTTGATCTTATATGTAGAGGGCTGGGGTGTATTGTCTTTTTTTGGTATGAGAATGTCAGAAACTGCTGATTTACTGGGATTTTTCTGGTCAAATATATATATATATTTATTGAGCTCAGTTTAAAGTCAATAAAATACATTTTCAAGATACGTAATTTGGTTAAATTGAACATTTTTTATTAAAACATATTTTTCTGTCACATGATGAAGGTCTAAGCTTTGCCTTTTTGTCTAAATGATTTCCTCTGTTTGCTGTGTTTTCCCTCACACACCTGCTCTGAATCAGCTTCGTTAACCCTTCCCTGCTCCTAGTTTTCTCCCAGCCAATCAGCTCCTTCCCTGCTCTCCTGACTAATCACCTAATGTTACCACCTGAGCTTAATCTCCACCCATCTCTCCACCTGCCATTCAACTCTTCTTGGTTTTAAGGTCAGTCTTTGGTTTGGTTCTGCTTAGCCCTGCCAGCACAGACCATGCATAACAAGTTATTCTATTCAAGTATCCTGTTGTTGGACCCGACTCCTGTGTTTGGGTCCATCTGCTCCAATATCCATGACAACAAGTTTGACTTCTTGAGAAAACAAGATAATCCACTGCTTTTTGTCTGTTAAAAAGGAGGTTGGAGCTAGGAGACATGATCCTAGCTTATCAAAAAAACGACCCGTATGTCTCTCCGTATGTAAAATAACAACTTTTTTGGTAAGCATGAACTTGTTGTATATTGTCTGTATAATCTTTACAAAATAATGTTCCTTTTGGACAGAGCCAAGATAGATGTTTTCCTGTTTCCAGACGTTTTGCTAATGTAAGTAGCTGCTGGCTGTAACGTCATATTTACTGTAGAGAAACAAGAGTGGGTTTGCTCCTCTCGTCTAACTCTCTGCAAGAAAGCAGATAAGTGTATTTCCGGAATTCTGATACTATTGACGAATAAAGACTTTTTTGAACCATTAAAGCTGGAAACATGTCACAGTAGACTAGGCACCAAACACAAATGTAAACCTGAAAAAGGGCATAATGGGGCCCCTTTAACATTCAGCAATGAAATGTTTCATATTTACACTGTAGTTTTTTCAGAATGTCCATCTCCTGGCTCTTTTTGCAGGTGAGCCCTCTCGTGTTTCCTGAAGTTGCCGCTGAACATGAATCGTTTCCCGCAGGTTGAGCAGCAGTACGGCTCCTCTCCTGTGTGCACCCGCCGGTGCAGCTTGAGGCCCACGGATTGAGCGAACCTCTTGCCGCAGATGTTGCAGCCGTACGGTTTCTCCCCCGAGTGAATATTCATGTGTATCTTGAGATTGCTGGGGTTGCTGAACTTTTTATCACACAGGTCGCAGGCGTAAGGCTTCTCCCCCGTGTGAACGCTCATGTGGTACTTCAGTTTGACCGAGCGGACGAATGTTTTGCCGCAGATATTGCACACAGGCTTCCCTGGTTTCTTCCCCGTGTGGACCCTCATGTGGTTCACGAGCGCGCTGGAGTGGCCGCAGCGTTTCCCGCAGGTCTCGCAGACATACGGTTTGTCCCCAGTGTGTGTTAGCATGTGGTGATTCAGGGCGCTCTGGTGACTGCAGCCTTTACCGCACACCTGGCAGGAGAAGAGCTTTTCTCCGGTGTGTTTGCTCAGGTGATTCTTCAGGACGCTCGGGTCGCTGCTTCCTAAGCCGAGCTCCTCGCAGCATTTTTTATTTTCCGCGTGAGTCATCCGGTGTGTGGCCAGAGACGAGGTGGAGAAGAAACGCTCACCGCAAACCTCGCACACGTAATATCTGGCGCCTGGATGCAGCTGCTCGTGATCGACCAAACTCTGGCTGCACGTAAACGTCTCCAGGCAAAGCGAGCAGTTGAACGTCTTTTTGAAGGCGCAGCACCTGTGCCGCTGAAACATCACGAGCCCCTCGAACTGCTTCTCACACAGCGAGCACGTGTGGAAGCTCGTCTCCTTCAGGCTTTGCTCCTTCAGGCTTTGCTCCTTCAGGCTGTGGTTAAGCATGTGTCTTTTGAAGGTGCTTTTGTAAGCGAACTCAGTCCCACAGTCGGAACATTCGTAAGGCTTTTCTCCGGTGTGTTTTCTCGAGTGTGCGATGAGCATCCTTTGGTCGACGAAACCCTTGCCGCACTCTGAGCAAAGGTGCGGTTTGGAGTGAGTCCGGTAGTGACGGTCCATCCAACACTTCAGACGGAATTGTTTGTCACAAGAAGGACATTTGAACGGCCCTGTGCTCTTCTTGGTGGGTTTGATAGTTGAAGGGCCGGTATCTTCCTGGACGACGTCTTGCTCCGTTTCCTCCGGCTCTGTTACCTCTGGCTCTGTTACCTCCGGCTCTGTTACCTCTTGCTCTGCTACCTCTGGCTCTGTTACCTCTTGCTCTGTTACCTCTTGCTCTGTTACCTCTTGCTCTGTTACCTCTTGCTCCGTTACCTCTTGCTCTGTTACCTCTTGCTCCGTTACCTCCGGCTCTGACGCGGCAGGTTCAGACGGGGTCCCAGAGTTACTCTCATGTGTGCCTGAATCTGCTGGAAAAAAAAAACTGACATCAATTTAAACGATCCAATCCATTGTACACAAAGTGCTTTTGGTCATTTAGAAAAAAATGGTTTACAATTGTAAAATAGAATTCTTAAATCAATTACAAGCTCTTTACTAACTGCTACAACTGCTTACTTTACCACAAAATACTTTAAAGAAAACTGAAACAGTTATCAAACTAGATAACTTAGATCAGTTCTTTCAGTTAGTAAACTGAAGGCAGCTGATTTATGTTATGGATGTCTCATGTTATATTCAATACATAGCAATAACAGTACAGAACAACTGATGAACTGTACATTTAACCCAAACAGTGAACGCAATAACGGCTGAAGATTGTGTAAAACAAGATGTATCTGAATGAATTTGGATCACGTTATTTCCTGTAAACAATGCAATCCCTTTTAACTCTTATGTTGTGTTCGGGTCTCCCGTGACCCGTTTCAAGTTCAAATTATATAATAACTACGCTCTAGTTTTTTTTATCGGAACAAGGCTTCATGATATCCTCCACAACAGCTATATAAACACTACAAAACTGATTTTGACCATTTTAGCCAAGGCTGAAGGTCTCTAAAAAAAAAAGTGTATAATTTGGTGTTCGGGTCAAATTTGGCCCAATCAAGATTCATCTTTGACTTTAGACACCCCACCCCCACCCCCACCCCCTTCATCCACTGTAACAATAATTGTTGGCAACATGCACCTGGTCTCCCATCCCTCTGGTCCCCCTCCCCCCACGGGAACTCGACCTTTCACAAAGAATATGTACACTAACACTTGAACCTGAACACTTGTTGCATACATTACAACAGGATTGTACGGTTATGAATGCATAATAAGTTAGTTATGATGTAGTTAAAACAATATTGGATAATAGTCATTTTTTGTGTGTGTTTTGGACTGAAATAAATCATGGGTCAAAATTGACCCGCGAACACTATGAACGATAACAGCTTTTGAACACAACACAAGGGTTAAAGGGACTTTGATGTGATAATCTCCAAAATACTCTGGTTCAATCAAAACATGTGTTGGCATTCAGCTTTAAAAATACAATATTTGTCTGTTGTGGGAGAAGAATTATAGTGGTTCAGTTTTCATAGAATTCAAAATCCATCTAATACTGACCCTACGAAGCAGTCTTCACCCAGTCAGTGAGAGGGCAGGTGCTTTTTGTCAGTATTTCATATGGATTTAAAGAAACCATATGAAATAGTATCTGGCTTAATACCATTGTTATACATGTGGTCATTGTCCTTTCTTTTCTTAACAAATAACTCTAACATAAACCTTGTTTTATGTACAAAAAAAGTATGTGAACGGACAAAGCCTCTACACAGATACTCAATCTGTTAACTGACTCACGCTTTTTTGGCGCGGCCACTTGCCCTGCTTTCCGCTTCTTGTTCTTCTTCTGCTTGTTCTCGTCCTTCCTCCCAGCCCTCTGCTCTGCCGCTTCACACAGAGACACTTTCAGCAGCGTCAGGATCTTCTCTACAGCAGCTCTGGTCCGTGCTTCCATGAGGGATGCAAACTGCTTCTGTATAGTTGCAAGATATAAGGAATGAAGAGCCACGAGAAGAGTTAGTTATAGAACTAAATCATATATATATCATTATATTAAGAAAGGTCAGGTGTTTTGAAATGTAAAAAGTAGCTGGTAATATGAGTGTTAAAGAAATGTAGTACAGTAAAAGTACACTGTTTTCTGAGTAGAAGAACTAAGTAGCCTACAATGGAAATACTCAAGTTAAGATAAAGCATGATAAAGTAAGTATTGTATAAGTACAAAATACAGTAGTACTTAAGTACAGTACCTGAGTACATGTACTTAGTTACATTGAACTTATTGTTAGCCAAGTTGAATGTTTATAACATTGGTGCAAAGGTGGAAGAAGTACTCAGACACTGTACTTAAGTTAAAGTATAAATACTAGAGTGAAGGAATACTCGGTTACAAGTCCGTAAAACAAGTACAATTTGATATATGTGCAGATAGGATAAGTCGTTTTTAGCAAATGTAACTCAAACTCAAGGAGTAAAATCTGCATTTGTAGGGGAATTTTGAATATAGTAGACACAGTGTATGTAGTATTGAGCGTGTGTGTTACCGTTATAGTGTTATCACACAGGTGTCTCCCCCCCGGTGGAGTCACCTCGCGCTCTTCCTCCTCGCTCTTCACGGCACACACTGTAGCCGGGGAAGAGCACTGCTGAGCGGCCAGAAGTCTGCCGAGCTCCGCCACCGCTTCCTCCACCACGGTGTCCATTAGAGCACATATCTGAGTCTCTAAAGTCTCCAGACTGGACATGTTTGTTAGTAACATCACGCTGTAATGTACATTTAAATCTTTATTTTCTGCACTGAGCACGTTACCGAAGTGTTCTTGTTGTTGTTCCGCATTCTCTTCTTCTCTTCTTCGTGTGGCGCCCTATAGGAACACGCCCGCCTTCTAGAGGACAGAAAGTAGTACTACACCATTACTACGTCATTACCTTTTTTTTGATATTTTTCCTCCATAAATTGATTCCCTTATTAATTTAAAAAACAATAACCAGTTAACACCCCCTAGTAGAGATATATAAATGGCCTTATATGTAGTGCCTCAAGTGATGTTGAACATCACAGCATTTTGGAATGCAAATCTACGATACGTACTATACATAAAGCCTATAGGACATTTTCTTGATAGAAAATATTCATTGTATTTATTGTAGCAAGAAGAGAATATTAGGCCAGGTTTGGTATATAAATTACTTAAAATATGTATTTGTTTAAACACATTTTCTTAGGTTAAATAGCAAGAACAATTTGTGGGAAAATATCTAGTTTCTTTAATTATTTAATTTATTTTAATAACGTTTAGACAATCTTTTAAGTGTGAATTATCTTAGAGAGCTCACAATCTTATGATATATTAACCTGAAATATATAATACAGTACTGTATGGACAACATCTACCAATACCAAACAAAGAAGTACTTAGAGAACTTTTGAAGAAAAGTAAAACATTTTGCTAACTTAACTAGTATTATGCTAACTGACCAAATGAGATCCCACATGATCCCTGTACTTTTCCTCCCCGAATGTGACCACAGATCATTGGCTCGACATTCAGGACAAAACGTTGTGTGTTGACGTGACTCCTGTTCCTGCTGAACTGAGCCAGTGTGTGAGATCTAACTGCGCTCAGCTCAGAAGGCACCAGAGGGAGGCCAGATGTTTCCTGGGAGTAATCCACATGTGGCCCCTGGTGGCACCGTGCAAAGCCTCTGAGAAGTGTCAAATTCTGCACATTAAACAAGACATGGCAGGAATTCAACCCTCATGCAAAACACATTTCCTTTATTGTCATTGTCACAGGCAACTAAACATTGGACACTTGTTATATATCCAATACACTTTGATGTATATGACGATATTATCTTATCAGTTATCTGTTCTTAGGAAAAGTAAAACCATTTAAAATATAATTGCAAGTTCAATTGGCAACATTGCAAATTGTCAGTCAATCCGCACAACACAGGGAAGGAAATACAAAACTTCTGATTACATCTGTTACTGTAATGCATGCCGGTGCAAATGTTATTCTTCTCCAAGACAATCTATGTCACATGCGACAGAGGGAGACAAATACAATAGAGCCTTTGATGGCTGAGATGACAATCTGAAAGTTTATCCTGAATGTTTCTTTGTGAGAACTTCATGTATTTCAAAGATACTTTTCTTTTTGTCTTCTTTTTGTCTTCGAGAGCTTCATTGACACAAATCAATTACGTTCAATTAATGTTTCATTAATAATAAAGTAGATGTTATTCAACATGAATTATAAAAAATAATAATATTGTAGCTTGATTTTTAAATGTTCAATAATTATGGCTGTGTTAATGCATGTTGGTTATGGTGTTAATAATTACACAACTAATTGTGAATAACAATTTTGTATGTTAACAAATCCCCCGAAAAAGACCAAATCCAACTATTTATGAATCTGTACCTCCATTTTGTGTGACTATCCTTCCCTGTCAATAGCACTCAATGCCTTTCCCATTTAACCCTTCACTAATATACATGTATATAAACAGCCAGGATGTGTAGTTTTTAGAAACTACACAAACAGGTCAACTCAAACTCAAACAATCATGCATTTCTTATGGAGTATTTTCAGGCTTGCACAAATGTAAAAGTAGCAAACTGTGTATCAACACCCTACATATCTTCTTCCTCTGTGCCATGCTCATGTTACCTATCACAAAACATATAAGGGAGCTACACTGATGCTCCTTCATTACCATGAACACACACTCACTGTAGTTTATTTTGACTTACTTCTACTAACACTGTTTTGCTACAAATTCATTGTTGGTTTTGGTCTTTTTGATCAGACTTTAAATATCTACCTAATAACCTACTTTTTTTTACAGTTTGAGCACAAAATCTTCAGATTCCCTTAGTTTTTTGTGGGAGACTATTCAAAATCATTCACATTTTTGGAAAACATTATGTACATTAAAGTGAGTAATAAGCTTTTCTGTCATACATCACCTCTGCACAAGTGAAGAACTTAGCCACTGTGAACAAATTGCTGAGACTCCCTGTCCAGCAGTCGACTAAGCTCTGCACCTGATCAGAAACAGCAGATACACAGCACACAAACACACTGATCCGCTGATCTTGCCTCAAAAGATTATTGTACTCTCAGAGTTATCCACACCGTGAAGAACTCCTCTTGCAGAAATGTGATTAAAAAAGAAGAAAGTGTGACTCTCCTTGTATGAAATCCCAGGTATCCTCCTCCAGAAGCAGCTGTAGAGGACACTGCAGCAGTGTAGTAATCCCTGGCAATGTGATTTTCATTTTCTGTCCCAAATCATCATGCCAGAGACCCTCACAGCCACAGCTCTCCGTCCTCCCGGCATCCCTCTCTCTTTCTCCTGATACTTTTCCTCTCACGTTCCAGCCTCTCCCTCCCCCCTCTCGCCCCTCTCAGGCTTCCATGCTCGGTTTAACTTTGGGTATTTCCCTCATTAACTGCTACGCCTATATCAGGAACTCCGGAGAGGCCCGAGGAAGTCTGGCTCTGAGATAAAATGACAGCGTGCTCCTCTGATAGAAACTAATGATAATCACCCCCTCGCTCTGATGGGTGGGCCCGTCTCATGGCAGGTGTTAGGGAAGAACAATACACAGCCATTGATTGGACGAAAAGAGAAACAAAATGTCTGAGTCCATCTGTTGTGTTTTTGTTGAATTTACTCATACCTTTTTAACTGTTTTAATACAGAAAGGTGGGCGATTTAGAACTTTAAATTATGTTCATACGGAGTAATAATAGCTTGTGCTCAAAACTAGCTTCCCATGTGTCTCATTGAAGTTCAGTCGAGATGGTCCCTTCATAAACCCTGACTTAATGGAGGCGAGGATACAAAGCAGATTTCGTACATCGACTAAGTTGTAGCACTAAGAGGAGGAGAAGAATAATGTCATCAGGTTCATCAGGCGCAACCTCCCCACCTCCGATAAAGTGCAGCACACAGCAGTCTTCCCAAGCTTTCATTGGTAGAACTTGTCTTACATAATGACAAACAGAACAAGGTGCATTGTTATGCCAAATGATAAAGCTGCCACATACCAGAGTTTCATCATCGAGCCAAATCCATCTGTGGTTTCTCCTGCAGTGAGAACAGAGGCAGTGTGACCTGTCAGAGGCCCTGGCTCCCATCACAGCCTGTTATTGGTTCAGAAAAGGGGACTCTGTGCATTGGAGCTCAGCTCAGCTTTACGTTTTACTCGATACTTACATTTAAGATTTTCTAAACCTAACAGACCTAGCGTTGGACGTAGTTACAATAAAAGCCTGCTCAATGTGTCGATATTTTGCAGTCTAAGCTAGAAAAGGTAATGACATTGATGCTACCTACATCTTCTGAATATGTATTTCAAGTTTGCAGATGGGACTTGTCTTTCTAAAGGACAAGTTAAACAAGAAAGAGGAAAGAAAGGGAGGTGATAGAAAACTATTTCTGCTAAAAAGTTAGCAATGATTGAGAGTCAGACCTAAACATTTCAGATGTGTGTATCTCACACTGCCCTGTAACTTTTATTCATGTATCTTTGCTTTTAAATGAGTGTTTTTAAATGTCATTTTATGTTTCTTAATGCTATTAATGTCTTTCATTTTTGTAAAGCACTTTGAATTGCCTTGTGTTGAAATGTGCTATATAAATAAACTTGCCTTGCCTTGCTTTGTCTTGTCTTAATACAACAAAATCAATAATCATGTTGTCTGGTCCACAGTGATGCGTGCTAGCTAGCTCTGTGGGACTTAGTTACAGCAGTTATTTGAGCTAAATGCTAACATTACCCTCCTAACAAGCTCATAACAGCAATGCTAACATTGTCCAGTTTGGCGACAACCTCAGCCTTCTCCCTGAGATTCCACATGTTTATGAAGCATCGTTAATGATTTGGAGTCATATTTCTGACAACCTTATAAAGTCCAATATTTGGGCTGCTTTACTTTTAGCTCAGGGTTAGTATCCTCCTTCTGAGCCCATGTATCCATCATCTAAGAGAGTCAGGGAGAACAATGTAGTTGTTTTCAGGAGTTTGTTTAAATTGTGCAAGTTTTCATTGTTCTTTCGTGTCAGCTATATGGCCATGTTAATGCTTACGAATATATTTGAAGACGCAACTGATTCGAAGTAAGGGCAAGACAGAAACTGGTGATCAGTATTTAAAGTTATATGTTCACTACGTCAGAACGCATTGGGCCTTTCACATACAGCTTTTCCAATGCAATGCTTCAAACTAATGAGCTCGAAGACCGTCAAATGCAGACTCTTAATCATTTGATCAATTTTTGTATGTAAAAATTGTGATTAAACTACAGCTGCTATACTGTACCAATGCACAACACTCCTCTGATACCATAAGCTACAGACACACTGTAAATAATGTTCTCCTATAGCTTGCCCCTGGTCTTATATTGCATATGTCATGCATTCATGTCACTTTTGTAAAGGCTCATATCAAATGCATACAGAGACTAATGTACATGTCCACATGCATGGTGTTGTGCATGTTGCATGTGAGAACACGATCCTGCAGCGCTGATCGTGATCTCTTTGATCTTATCATCTTTTCAGTTTGAGCCTGGAGCTAAATATCAGAAACGTTTACATAACAACCTCCTCGGGGTAACGTTCAGATATATGTTTGGCACATTTATGTCAAGATTGCGTCTGAATGCATGCATATTAAGGGTTATTGAAATACAGTGCCAGGAGAATAAATGATCCCCTCAACCAATCAGTAATGAGTTATGGTTTGTGGCTGATCTCCACAGCACTTAAAGCTGTCAATCATCCCAGTTTCACATATCACATCAATTATTTCCATAATAAATCTCGAGTTCTTACTCAATACCTGCGACACATTGGAATCGGAGGTTAAGCGTACTCAAGCTAAAAATGAACCCGATATGTATATTTATACTTTTCCCAGTTTGGGATCAATAAAGTATATCTAATCTAATAAACTAATCTAAAATAGCAAACAAAAACGTTCTTCTTTTTATATTACCTGTATATAAATGTCTTTCCTCATTATGACCTTGCTGTATGTGGAGTGTTCTGCAGTGCGCGTGACTGCTGGAGCACACCTAATGTGAATCACACTACAATAACACGCTCCTGCTTGCTGGGGTTTCAGTTTGTACATGTTAGATCCACAGAGGCAGAAGCGTGATCTTGGCATGTGACCCCCGCCAGCTGTTCAGTCAGCGTACCTCTGCCCCACAAACCCCTGGGAGTCAGCCCCATCATGCTTGACTTGGCGGGGCCTTTGTGAAAGGTGGAGGCCCGGTGACTGGGGGGGTGGGGGGGCATTAGAGAAGCATTAGAGCAAGAACAGGTTTACATTCCTGGGATCACCACAGCACATGCCAACATTAAGAAGTAGTGTGTCAATTGATTAAACATTTTTATTACGTAGCTCACATTAATAATCTCTGACTAATCATGCTCAATCACAATTTGTTTAGATAGTACAGTAACTAGTATGTACTTGTATTTTTTAAGGGGAGAAACAAAATTACACATGAGGTGCTGTAATAAAGAACAGCATGTAAACTGGTAAGAGAAATGAGAGGGTGTTTTACTTGATTACAACTGATGGTTTATGAGTTATTGGCATGAAGTACGACAATTTTCCAACCGTTAGCTGAAGCATCGAACACACTGCTGTCAAAGAGAGCCGCTGTGATCACCCTCTGTATAATGTTCGGCTAAGAGGGATGATATGTTTTCACTAGGCCCGTCACCAACAAAAAAGCCCTCCAACATAAATCAAAGTCCATGTGAGTTAATTTATTAATACCAAGTTTGTTGCCTTGATTGTTGAAATGAAGTCTGTGGTCGTTAAGTACGTCCTGAGAAGATTGAGACTCTATACAAAGGATCTTGTCTGTTCAAAATAGATGCTTGTGGTATTGTTTTATTAATGCTTAAATATGCCTTAAATATAAGGTTCAAAGTTAGAAACCACTCCACCAACAACCTGTCCAACTCACTGGATGTAGAGTGGGTATAAGCCTAAGATTTGCCGTCTTTTCCAGCTTGCATTCTCCTGTATTTCCATTATCTTAGCTATCCTTTTTTCCAAGGGCACCATCACTGCGTCTTGTTCAAGAAGATCATGATTGGTTTTACGAAATACAAACAAGTGCAGACAGCACTGAAGACAAAGGTCTGGCAATGTGAGACTTACCATCACCTGAACTCTACAGCTACCTGCACACCTGCTTGCCAATTTAGCAACAGTTGCGTCTTTTGACTGTTGCCAAACTAATTTACGACTGACTTATCTGTGCAATCTTCCCCAGCCCTATTTCCCACAATACAGTCGCCGGAGCCATATGTAATGGTATGTGCTGAAAGGCAGTTTGATAAGTAGTAAAAGCGCTTATGAAACAATTGAGCTGTGTTTGTGGTATTCCCAGGACACCTACAACTTTCTCTCAGAGTACAGGTGTGTCACAATTAAAAATTAGGATCATAAAAAGTGCTGAAAGTATTTCGTAGGGTTTCCAAGAGGTTGGTGCCATCGACTGCAAACAACTGCAGCCAAGCTTAGCTACGAATATGAAACATAATTCTCTATTTATAGCACTAGTGTGTTTATATGCTCAATAATCCAGACATTTCAAAGAGTATAAACTACTACAACCTTATGTTGATGAGAAAGTTGCTCATTTCAGGGCCCCTAACAAATGGTAGAAGATGTTAAAGAGGCCCTATTATGCTTTTGGGGATTTTCCCTTTTGTGCATGTAAATGGTCTGCTAAAAATCCCAAAGTTTCTCTCACACACATTAAAACATGGAGACATGTCACAGTAGAGGCACAAAATGTAAATATTAACCTGAACATTTGAATAATAGGTTTCCTTTAAACATAAGCTCTTCTAAAATCCTACGAGGACAAACTTTTTGTGACTAAATGTCAGGGGATTTTTTCCCTCAGCCTGGTTAATGATTTACAACAACATTGATTGTAATCATTTGTGCAGGAAACCAGAAAAATAGTCTCAGTCGGGTGGGAAAAATATACAAGTAAGTACAATTGTAACCAGGCCTGTAGATGTAAAGCCTGATATCAAATAATGCAACGGTTTATGCTTTAATGGCCGTGGGATCAAAATAGTTTTTAATGAGTTTCAATGGGGACATTGAGCCAACCCTTAAGGCTTTGACTGTCTGTGTTTTGGCTACATAGTTTATTATATACTTATTATAGCAGGCTACACTTCCATATTTGTGAGGAAAAAAGAAAACAGGGCAAAATGACAGCAGACTGAAATTCTTTCCCCACTTATTTCTATGTGGAGCGGCGCGACACACATTCCCTTCTTGTCATGAATTGACCCGTGAATTCATCTGATTGAACTTTGACTCACAAAGTCACGGGGCTCTCCTTTATTCTCACCAGTGACAGAGGTCTTTATCTGCTCAGGTTACATTACATGTTACTTGTTAGACACTTTTATCCAAAGCGACTCACATACTCAATAATGTGGGCAAGTGAAGTGTCTTGCACAGGGACACAACGACATGCTGACTGCAGTGGGGTTTGAACCTGTGACCCCCTGAACCGAACACCAACGGACAACCCACTGCACCACACGCCTCCCTCAGTACACATAGTGTCGTTTGTGCATTAGGGCTGCTAGACTCCAAAACAATTCAAAGAACAGTTTGTTGGTCTGGCTCTCCTTGGTACAAAGCACTACATTCAGAGGCTGAGTGTAGGAAGTGAACTTCTGCCCCAAATTCTCTCTAGCTTGTATCAACCTTTTTTTCAAAGCCAAAAAAGCTCTGATACACTCAGATCAGAATGCATAAGCAAAAAACAATCGAAGCCCACTGTAATATTATATCTACGTGTCACCTCTCTTTTTTAGTGTCAAAATAAAAAATAAATAAACGTCTGTAGGCGGCATATGAGGCAGGGCCAAAAAGAGAGTGGTGGGTTAGTGACACGACAGCACATTTTCTAGCATGCAGGGCAGCCTAAATATGCGTTTTTGGATTTCAAGGTCTGCCTAGATAGAAATGTTTAACACTTTCTTTACTGTTAGGTTACCATAGAAAACACTTTATCGTGTTTTCTCCACTGCTAGGGCACCTTGATGCGCATTGAATCAACATTTTCAGGCCAATGCTTCATGTTTTCTCCCCTGGAAGGGCACTCTATAGGTCACTTTATTACAGTTTATCCAATACAAGGAACCTGTGACCCCCTGACACCCCCTACACAGGGCATATCATGAATTCTCCACTATTTTTTTGCACATTATACATAGTATTATAAGAACCTCTAAGCAAATGGTTACTGCAGCAAATTATAGGTTGACAACATAGGCCATGTGGAGTTGAAAAAGATGGATGTGTTTATTTATACTCGTAAAACAGTCCCCTCTAGGCTTCCTTAGTTACAAATACCCAAATGTCACATAGCAAATTCAAACAGCAAAAACACAAAAAAACGAATTATGTTCTCGGATTACAGTATACTTGAGACCCTTCTCAGAGCAAGAAGCTAACTCAAGTTCCTCAGACAGCCAGCAGAGGTCTCTCTTGGTGTACTAAAATGCTATAATCACACAGGCTCATTTGCCTGAGGAGCAAGGTGTCCAAAGTTCAGCAGCGTTGACTACAGTAAACCTGCAGCTTAATATTATACACTTAATTAGCATGTTTTGTTTTTTGTAAACCCTTCATAAAGGCATCCATTTGTGCTAATTCTGGATATGATTTTTTATAGAATACTCCCAGTGCAGTCCAGTTACATGTTTTTACTTTATAGTCCATGCGTGAGTCTGGGAACTCCCCCCTTGTCTGGCTGTCCTCCCTCTGCTCATCTGTACATCCCTCATCACTCTCAAAGCTCCAAACCTCCTGGGGGAAGATTTGAGGCTCATTAGGACACTTGGGCCCAGCAGCTTCTTCTCCTGAGCTTGAAGGAGCCCCTGTCTGAAGCCACATATCTGGGAAGTTAATCAGATCTGTTTTCGGACACTCAATATTAAGGACCTAGATTTTAGAAGGGGGCATAGAGGCTTCAACGGATGAAATCCTGAAATATGAGGGTCACCCGAGTGCTACAGCTGTCTGTTTTGTTGGTGGGGCTCTGCCAGGCCCAGCGAGCCCCTCCACCCTCCACCTCAGAGGAGGCAGGGGGGGTCCCCGTGTCCCAGATGAAGATGCTGGCGCTGGGCCTGGCTCACCTGCTGCAGGGCGTGGAGGAGAACGCCCGGCAGCTGGAGCAGAGGGGCGAGCAGGCGGAGGCCGAACTGGACGGGGCCACGAGGAACCTGGAGAGCCTCAGGAAGCAGAGTCTAAAGGCCGGACGGAATCACAGGCAGGTGAGGAAGGGTACCATCCTACAGAGCAAAAGAAACGCATTTTCCCTGTTCTCTGACCCACAACATTTTGTGGGACTTTTATGTTTTTTGGAAGTTGTAGGGCTCAAACTGACAACATTTTTCATGATCAAATCTGCCATTTATTCTCTTGATTGAATCATTATTCATTACGTCTCAAATGTCACATACAGGGAATGTGAGAAAGCCCAAGGTTATGTCATTATATTCCTTATGTTGTCTGACTGCAACTAAAAAAAGATAAAACAAAAATCTGTTTGTCAACCACAATATTTAAAAAAAAATCATCACAACTGAGAACCTGGAAATGAGAAATGTAAGGGTTCATTTTTCCGTTTTTTATCTTGTCTTTTTTATTTATGTATTTATTATTTTGTATTATTATAATTACACTTTATTAAGACAATTTGTTTGTCTTTTTTTAAAGAATAAAGACTTAAAAGCAATTTTGAACTTTAGTTGGACTTCAAAAGTTACGAATTCACTGTTATTTTGAGTTTGGTGTAGCTTTTAGACATGCTTCACACAGAAATTGTTGATATATTAATTTGAAACCTGCATTTTCATACAGTCACTGTCTATAAATATTGTACAATGATGTGGTTTTGAGGTGAGGAAGGACCTGCAGATCCTGAGCGCCCGGGGGGACCGGCTTTGGATGGCTGCCAGAGATCTGCAGAAGGTTCTGGAGGACGTGGAGACTGAGCAGGGAGCCATGCAGCAGCGGATCAACCGGGTCCTCCAGAGAATAAGGAGTCTGACGGAGCCCAAGTCCAGGGGGAAAACACAGCTGGACATGGGCTCTGTGAAGGTGAGCCGAAACCAAGAACTTAAAGATCACCTATTATGCAAAATCCACTTGTTCCTGTCTTTTCTACATCAACATGTGTCCCCTCTGTGTAAAGAGATTCTGAAAGTTTCAGGAAAAAAAGATTCTCTCTCTTTTTGTCCTGATCCATTTATATAAAAACCTGTCTGAAAATTAGCTGATCAGATTTTGGCCACTTTATGATGTCATAACGTTTTTTTGGCTTGTGTAACCATTAGCCAATCAGCAACCAAGGTAACCCCCCCTCCCCTCCACCTGATCACCTGAATCTCCTCCTAGAGCACCATTGTGTTCTTTTTAACCAAATATCTCTCAGAGGGGCGTGGGGAGGGGCTCCTTATTTTCATCTACAGTAACAGACAGAGAATCAGCACTTTTGAAACAGGGCTGAAACAGAGGGGATTATGGGATGCTGCAATGATCTGTTTGGTGTTTCAGACAAACTCTTCAGAGACATGTTTTGTATATATCTGACCTATAATATATTGATGAAAAACAGTATAATAGGGGACCTTTAATAAATAAACAAACACATGTGACAGATTCGATTTTTCTTGCCATTTATTATCGTTGATGTGTTGTAGGTTGTGATGGATAAACAGGCCCGAAAGCTAGCCAGTCTAAACTCAGAGTTTTCAGCCCGGGACAGAATGATTGACAGACGCCGGCGGCACATTGACCACCTGGAGATACAGGTACATCAGAGGGTTATAGTAATGTTATTCTAAATACGATGTTTGATTTGTTTTACATTTTTCTTTCAGGCTGAAAATTAGGTGTGTAACCTGTAAAAAAGTGGGAAATAATGAGGAATATGATATATGATTATGATGTAATGTCATATCACTGTTTTGGTTAATGCCAAGGATGCTCTCTAGATTCAAGATTCAAGATTCAAGGCTTTATTGTCATATGCACATGGCAATTAAAAACTTAAGTCACAGGCTCCTCCAATAGTGCAACATGTATATATAAAGGACATAAAATAGTGCAAGAGAATGTTATGAGATGTGCAAGTAAATACAAATAAAATAGAAATAGTGCAAGAGAGCAGGATGCTGACTCTAGTTTACTTCACGGCCTCTGGTGTCTTAACAACAAGGATTTTCTGAAAATTCCCTTATTGTATCATTAAGATATAAGTAAAGCACATAGCAGCGAGTGGACATATTCCATTGATTCCGTGATGGTGATATCTGTGCTACACTGTGTAAGGGTCCTCGCCGCAGTGTTTTGAGTGATGAGCCCTAATGGCCTTGTAGTACATTAGTCTTGTAGTTTACTATGGTTGAACATTAATGCATTTCATTATTTCCGACCTGTCTCTGTGTGTTTGCTCTAGATATCTGAGAGCCTCCCAGCAGCACTGAGGGCAGATTCTCTCTCCGACTGTGTGTGATGAGCCCAGCTGCATCAACACAGCCTCTCTGAGCCAATACACCTGCACACTGCCATTATGAAGCTAAGAAAATGAACTGCTCTGAAACTTACAAAAGCATGTGTCACATTTAACAAATATGTAGATAAGTACACATTTGGGTTAGTCGTCTGTGTTGTCCTCAACAAAACACGCCTACAGTATGTTCAAAAATAGTTACGAAATAAAGCTTTCCTTTTCCTGCAACCTCATTTTGTGGTTCTGACTTCAGCTAAATTGTGGTCGAAACGCCTTGTGAAGGAATACTTGTCTCACACACCCAAAAAAACATGCATAATTAAGTCACAGCTGACAGTTATGTCCTTTATTTAAGTTGTTGATTACTTTTGAAGGGTTATACACAAAAAATACAGTAGACGTATGAGAGTTTTACAATGTGTTACATAACTTTACAACCTAATGTCCTTATATATATAGTTTTTCACCTTAAAATCAAAGGTGGTCTTAGTGGTCTTAGTGGTCTTAGTGTTATAAGACAAGGATCCGGAGCAGTGCAGAAAAAAGGCAATCTTTGCAAGTCATTTCCTCTTATATTCAACTTTAAAAGGATATATTTTGTAAAAACAAGGCTGTTGTATACTGTTTTTTATCCTGTTTTCACAACAGTGGAATGAGGATTGACATCAGACAGCAGAATATTGCATTGATGCACTTGCATTATTCTTGAATTGTTTAGGTTGTATACACATGCCACTGTTCATGGCAAATACCTATTTGAACAGTAAAACTTGTAAAAGTGTTGCATTAGAGGCACCAAATACAAAAAGGAACCTCAAAATTAGCATAATATGTCCTCTTTAAAATAACTTGATTAGGATCAAGAGAAAAACGATCACACTTCCTAACTTTAAAAATCACTATTGATTCATAACAAGTGGTATACATAATGACACATTCTCTATTCACTCGGGGGGTTTTCCCTGATAATTTAGCCAAATCCAGACAGTCTTAGTCCAGTGCCCGGTGTAGTATTTGTAGAGAGGAACAGGAAATATTACCAGCAGCTCCGCAACCCTCGCAGCTGTCTCGCTGCCAAATGTGCCAAAGGTCATGTGTTGGATCTTCATATATTTGGCCTGAAGTCACGGTCTTGAGGGCCGACATGCAGGCAGAGCGTCTCCTCTGGTGTTCCCAAACAAACCTCCAACAACTCGAACTATGTCCCACTTAGAGGGGGGGAGGGGGGGGGGGGGGGGGGGGAAGAAGAAAAAGACAGAGGTTAAAGAAGATCCTTTTCTTGAATAGAAGTTAAAATTCTACAGTCAAAATAGCCAAATAAATTCCTGAATTCAAGTTGTTAAAAGTATATATATCAGTATATAATCAGGTAAATGAACTTGAAATATAAAAAGTAACAGTATTCATTATTCCGAATGGCACTGTTCACAGTATTATATAAAAATAGATAATATAATATCAAGTTTTTATCACTAACTAATGAATGTAAGACCATTTTAGTACTTTAGTTTGTCTATGTGGAGCCACTTCAAGAGACTGGTAAGATTAGCAGTACAGTACTGCATCATGTCATGTGTTTTTTAAATATAAAAAGTAACTAGTAACGGTGGTAAATAAATGTAGTTGAGTGAAAACGACATTATTTGCCCCTGAAATGTAGAAGATTATAAGTATAAAGTAGAATAAAATGGAAATAATCAAGTAAATTACAAGGATGTCATAATAGTACTTGAGTACAGTAGGCCTACTACTTTCAACAATAAGAGGGTCAGAAATAGAGAGCTGTTTACAGGGTTAAATAACAAAGGAACAAATTGAGGAAGGGACTAGCACAAAAAACTAAGTGTGGGAAGAAGAATTAAGATATGTGAATACAGGAGGATAGTAAAGATTATATAATGTTACTGTATATGTGAGAAGATGACGTTGTACATTAGGAATCGGAGGGTTTGAGCTGCGGCACCCCCTAGAGGTCAGAGGGAAACACTGACATGTTTGTTCTCAAAGTAGGCCTACTAAAACTCCTGAAGTCCTCACATATCCTACAAAAAAACACATTTGTTCTTGTCATATTCTACAAAACAAATGTTACATTCTTTTGTTCTATTGTGTAATCATTCCTGCACTTCTTAAGTTGTACCAAATACGCAGGGTCTCTCAATACGCAAAATGTCAGTGAGTATTTGAGTGTGTTCTTACATTTCTAGATGCTTTTGTATGAGACTTATGTAGGCATATTGTAAATAATAATAAGACGACATACTCTGTGGAAAAAGCACCTCCCACTCCAACCTTCCTCTACCTGCGATTTACCATCCTGAAGGGGCGGGGCTAAGTAATCGATAAGGAAGAACAGCTCACCTGTAGCCAAGCCTTTTCCTCAACAAAAGAGCTGGCTTCCCTCATGTTGTCTGCATAAATGATGCGTGAGTTTCCTTTGCTTTAAGTTGTAAATGTATAACAGCATAAGAGGTTTATATCTAGAGGCCTACTCTTCGTCTTATGTTATTAAGCTTGATTATGTTTGAATATAACTGCCTTTGCTCAAATGTTATTTGAATCATACGTATTTTGTGCAATCTAACTGTGATTTTTTATTCACTTTTCTGCCAGATCAACCAGCAAACAATCTGAATCAGATAATGAGACAATAAATAAATTATCTGAAACTCCCGCTTGTTATCTTTAAATCGATTACCTCTTGTCCTTGAACCAATCTAACCTTACCCAAAATGAATACACACAATCACTCCTTGAAATCAGTTTTTTTTCTGTTTATGACTTCAGACGGCTTGTAAACAAACCAAATGTTTGCCAGGATAATCTCGCAAAGTGTTGTCAGGTAAAGTTTGTATTTATTTGTTTTAGCTTGAACACTTATTAATGTTACATCACTTACTAGTTTAGTTTGAAGAGAGAAATTCAAATTAAACCAGAAGAAAATAAATACTTTAGTCTGTCAAATGGAGTAGTGGTGCACTTCAGCCTCTTGTGGACAACATTAGTATTACAACAGCAACAATGATTGTATTAATTGACTTTTAAATATTGGAACAAGAAAAAAAAAACATAACAAGGTTTATAAAAAACATATGAAAGAAAAGCTATAAATAGTATTGTATTATTAATGTTGTCTTTATAAAGGCTACATCTCCCTAAAAAAACTAAGTAATTGGGGTAAAAAAGTTAATAAAGTCAAGCCCTACTTAGATGTGACAAAATAAAAAATAACTAATATCTATTTAAGGAATATACTTCTATATATGTAATGGGTCTAACACAACATGTAGTTAGCATTTCACTAATAGATGTATTAGGTTACATTAATTCAAAATGTATGGTTTATTTGTTGGACAACTCCGTGTGTATTTAACAAAATTGATGTACTTACTGTAGTTTTAGTTGGAGCTACATATATTCTTTGAATTGATTTCATCCAATGAGTCTGACTCATCTTCTAGGAAATAAAACAACAGGTAGGTAGAGAGAGAGAGAGAGAGAGAGAGAGAGAGAGAGAGAGAGAGAGAGAGAGAGAGAGAGAGAGAGAGAGAGAGAGATAGAGAGAGAGAGAGAGAGAGAGAGATAGAGAGAGAGAGAGAGAGAAGAGAGAGGATAGAGAGAGAGAGAGAGAGAGAGAGAGAGAGAGGAGAGAGAGAGAGAGAGAGAGAGAGGAGAGAGAGAGAGAGAGAGAGAGAGAGAGAGCGAGAGAGAGAGAGAGAGAGAGAGAGAGAGAGAGAGAGAGAGGATGAGAGAGAGAGAGAGAGAGAGAGAGAGAGAGAGATGCAGATATACAGGAAGTGGTGAGGATGCTCTCCAGTCGCTGCAGCTCTCTGCTCTTCACCACGGTCTCCCACAGAGTTCAGATCACACAGCGCAGTATTATTTCACTGACCTGCATTCATCTCGTCATCATACAGTACGACTATGCTAATTAAGGTAAGAAGCCAAAGAGTGTTTATTCTTTCTAAATCTACCTTTTCTTCCCATCAACTTTTATTTTTAGTGAGGACTGAGCCACTTCTTTAACTTGTATGTCTGTTTAACACTAAGCTGTAACTTGATATGATTAACTGTGTAACTTGATGTTGATTAACTGAATGATAATCAAGATTAGAATAAGCTTTATTATAGTGTCACGCAGTCTGTATGTGTGTGTTATTCAAGAGGAAGATGAACTAAGTGTGTCAAGAGGAAATGTGCTAGACTTCCCCTCAGTCAGACAGAAAGTAAAATGTCGGCAGTGAGCTGGACGGGGTTGTCATCGTTTACATGTATGCAAAAGAGCTGCAGTGTGCTGGTTGCGTGAGGGTGTGCAGGGTTTAAATATTCACCTGAGTTCCCCTGCCTAATAAGTTACACCATATATACCATACAGCCTAAACTCCTAGCTTTAACTAATGCAGTCTAACACAAGAAACTTCTACATTTTTCTGTAAACTGTTTTCAAAAGTTACTTGTTATTTTGGAGGCATTATGTGGTGCTTTTAAGTGTTTTGTGTTACACTGAGAGATGTCCAACATTTTGTCTATCCACATTGATTGAAAGATCACTTTAAACAGGTGGATATCAACATTTGACTGTGGTCTCCAATGAGGATGGATCATACTCTAGGCCGATGTGATTGCAGGTTGCATAGACCTTTTTTTGCATATAACCCACACGATTATTTGTATTCGTATGGAAATCCCGGTTGATGTATTTTTAAAGTCTAAAGATCATTCAGTCATTATTTAAAAATAGGTAGAATGACACATGCTGTGCCAACCATGAAAACCATTTTGCCAAAGCTTATGGAAAGTCTAATGAATCTAGGAAAGCTATGAAAAGTAATATTAACATTTGTGGCGCCAAGAGGATGAATCCTCATGATTGTGGAAATCCCTAGATCTCTATAAACATATCTGCATAAACGCATCTTTAATTATTTGCAACATGACAAGATTTTGCCATCAGAAAGATTCTGGTGTCCTTTGTACAAGCAGTAGACCTACCAATCATCTTTTGTCAAACTTTGGTTACATGAAAGCAAACGATCTGTGTGGATATCAATAGAAGCATACAGGTACTTCATTCACAATCATCTTGCTTTTCTTGTATTGTATTTTATATGTTGTCATACCTCTGACTAATGCTCTGTTAAAGGTGCCTACTATAACATGTTTTCAGCCGTGTTTGGCTGTACATCACTCTGTGTGATTTTAATATGTAAAGTGCTGCAGAGGAAACCCTACATGAACTGCCAAACACTGTACAGTACATATAATAAAACCCATTCACTACTCCAAGCACTAATCACATCAAGTCTCTTTAAGAAAAGGAATGATCCGTAGCCATTTTGTTGATCTCTTCAGCCTCTGTAATTGACACCTATAGACATTTATGAAACAGTTTCATTCTTCCTGAGTCCGACCACAACACCACATCCTGAGGCAGTGCTTAAAATAAACAGGGGCTTGTGATAGGATCTGTGCAGGTTCGTTTAAGACACAAAAACATGTTGTGATTGGAATTTTGTTTTGTACGCTAATATTTACACTTCAAACAAGAAGAAGAGGGCCTGTCGTCACAGCTTTAAAATCAGCTGTGGTCTAGAGAGAATAATCGGTTAGGTAACACACGTACAGCAACACAATATCCGTATTAAAGGCAATAAAGATATTTTTATACTTGCAAATATGACGTCTCCTCCAAAGAGCACGTACTGTTCTGAGTGAAACAGGCTCTCTTTATAAGAGGACATCAACGCAGATTTACTTTACAACAACATTCTGGGAGGCCAGCTGATACCCCCTCTGTCACTGTATGCAAAACCATCACACCCTACAAGACAATGGGATATACAGATACCCCTCAGACACAGTATGCAAAAACCTCACCCCCTAAATACGTCTGTTGATCACACATACATTAAGGTTCACTCCCAAGAGATGGCACAAGGGAGAAACTAAGGTTAGCAATGTTAACACATTTGATCGCACAATTTCCTTAACAGGCCTAAAGTAAAACAAACAACTCCAGGATTTCAGAATGTCAGGACACTCTCTACTATCCAGGTGAACATCCCTGATTTCGTAGTTAAATGGAAAATAGCTATAAACATATAATATATAATAATACAAAGAAATTGAACGCTAATTGGGGAGTTCCTCAAGGCTCAGTGTTTGGCCCATCATGGTTTTTAACTTAATGTAACTCAAACTTTAAAATGAGAAGAAGTCAATATGATTTGAGAAGAAATACATTTGTTTGTGTTACAAAATGTTTTGAATAATGCTGACTACATGCCAATTTTGCGGCAGTGTTTGTTTTTTAATATAAGTCTTTAACTGGCTGGTCCTTAACCACACATGGTCGTTTTTATTTCATTTACCGACCAATATGACATGATATTCGTAGAAATAGACTTAGACAAATAATACAACAAATAAAAAGGTGATATTTTTAATTATTAAATGTTACAATGAAACTTGCCCAGCTGATTGCATACAGCAAGACAATTCTTTTTGTCGGATACGTTTTTTGAAATGTATTGTTCAAATATGCATATCAGTACCTTAATAAAAATGTGTTAATTTGCATTCATTTCCGGAACAGAAATCTGAACATAGGATGAAGCCAGGTTAAAAATTGTAAATATTTATTTCATTTAGTTGACATATCAGTCAAGGATTTATTTCTAAGATGAAATGGCATATCTGTTTTACTTAATAAATGTAAGCTATTGGAAAAAAAAATATTTAAGCAGTGTCATAAAGACCAGTGGTCTCCACTCTGTTAATGTCTTTATAAAGAAACAATAACAACATAGAAACATGATTTTGTGGTTTGTGTCTCTACTGTTTCTGGAAATACGTACAAGCATTTCTTTCACAACACTTTGTTGATTTGAGTCCCAGCAAACAATGATTACAGGCATCACTGGTAAATGTATAACAGTTGACAGATGCTCTTATTTAGAGTGACTTAACATAATGATCATGATATGAATACAATAAGAATACAATATATAAATAATTATAATTAAAAAAATGTTGCCATGTTTTAGGATAGGTGAACACTAAAAATAAATGTTAAGAAAAACAAACGTTTACATATACATTTCCATAAGAAAACACTACTGGTTAGAGGTAGACAATTGACTAGATGTCACTATGAAACTTCCCGAGTTATTACCTACATTAAGACAATTTTTGTATTAGAATTTTTCAGAAATATAATGTTAAAATACCCAAATGAATCATTATCTATGCTAATTTCGGGTGAAAATAGTAAATGCACTGATGAAAATAAAATATTTGTTGTTGCCGTTTCCATAATAAGCCTTTATAGGGTAAAATATACTTAAGCGACAAAGCACTGAGCCCTGTTTGCGTACAGTTATAAAACAGGGGCGTTTTCCAATCCTTCCTAATAAGGATCATGGGTTGTTGTGAGGGATTCTGGACTTTAAAGACTTTAATAAACACTGGTGGTTCCTCAGATCTCAGAAGTGCCCTGGACAGAGAGGTCTAGACGTTTCTTTGTAAGTCATATGGAAAGACTCACGTAAATCTATACCGTCAAACTTTAGAAGTTGTTATAGTCGGTGAAATTCTTATGCTACTTGTGCAACCAGCTTTGCATTGACTTTCATGCAAATGTGGCACAGTGTGTAACTCTTTTTCTTTCTACCTCAGGAGTGGTGCACCTGGAAAATGCATTTTCGGTAAAGCCCATGTGAGGTTTAATCCCTGCATTCATCATTGAGCGTAAAGAAGGAACTCAGGCAGCAACAGTTGGAGGAAGGACGGCCGAGCTTCCCTCTCATCAACTTCCATCTGCCCAAAAGATGTCAACCGCCACGGTAGACAGCGCAGGAAGTGGAACTAAACTCTACAAACACAAGGTAGGCAGGCTTCATTGTTCTTCATGTTATGCTTTCAAAAGAAGATCGCTAACATCCTCATTTTGGAAGACAGTGACACCAGGGATGTGCGTAGACATTTTGAGGGCTGTTGCTCTATCCTGAAGATAGGGCAACTCCCTACCCCAAGTGTCACCTAGCAGGATGTAGAATTAATGGTGTATACATGGGCATTTAAATAACCAAAAATAAATGTTGTATATAGTTTTAAATTTGAATGATTAACAACATTTAAAATAATAGAAATTCCAAATGTTTTGTACCATTAAACATTGATTTTTACTAGTGTTTATTATGTTTCCGTCAGTCAGCTATATGTTATGTAATAACTGTTTAGTGATGGCGGGAACAGAGCAAAGGGCAAGAAGATTAGTTTGATCAGCTTCACACAGAGCTCTCACTGCAGCTCAGTTTGTTGGAGGAAAATAAGTCGAGCTCAATGACATTTTTTAATTTGTCAAGTTATATTTTCTATATATTTAGGCTAATTAGGTGCTGGTGTGGGACTTTGTCGGTAGCCTCATCAAAGTAAAATATAATGTCTTGTTGTTTGTTGCTGTCCATCAATGTTTATGGTTTTGTATAAATCCTGGCTGCAAATCAGTTTCCTTATTAGGAACATTTAAGATTAAAGACTTAGATTTTGATTAGTTTGGTTATGGGGAAGTCAAGTTCATCGGTATAGATCCAATACTGTGGTCAAGACTAAGCAAGCAATATTCTTCATCAAATGTGATATGTGCTAATGGACATGTTGGCATGCTAACACGCAGAATTAAAAGGGTTAAATATATGGAGATTGAGAATTGTAATTTGAAAAACTGGTTGATTTATTTCTGTTTTTGAAACAAGTGTCTTTTTTTCTTCCCTGTTCTGGTGAGTTAGCCCACGGCAGCAGCTCTGAAGGGAGCCATCCAGCTGGGCATCGGTTACGCTGTGGGAAACCTCAGCTCCAAACCAGACAGAGATGTTCTCATGCAGGACTTCTCCGTGGTGGAGAGCGCTTTTCTGCCCAGGTACTCTACACTTCCTTATTTTAGTTGACATTTAGCTGATGCATATAATAAATGTGCAGATGAATTACCATAAAGGATCTTTTCTCTCAAATCACAAAGGTGATTATTTTCTTTTTGAATTAGTTAAAACCTGGTTGCTGTGTTAACCAATTTCTCTATCTTTACACTTGGATTTCCAAATCCTTTCAGGCCCCCCAAAAAAGCAAATTATAATTGTGTTGTGTACAAAGGGAATGGATAACCTTAAACTACTTCAATCTACTCAGTATTGGTATGAGTCTGATACTGGCTTGAATCACTGGATATCTGAAAAAAGTTAAATCCAGTAAAATCCATCAGTTTAAACTGTCAACAACTGTCATTCAGGTATACTGTAGGCTTCAGAGTTATACCCGGTATTATACACTGGAATTATATGTATTGATTTATTTTTGGTATTCCTAAATCTCAATTTTAAACTTTCGTACAAATCTGCACTATGGATTTATTTTTCAATGTTTGAATCGGTTCTGACCAATCAGATATGCTGCTTAAAGTTGTGTGCGTGTGGAAAAGTTTAAACAACAAGATATATTAGTTTTGAGTAACTGAGTATTGTGAGCTATGTATTTCTTCTTTAGGGAAGTAGAATATTAATTTCACAGTTTGAGCACGAGGTTTTTTAGATGGCTTCAGTAGATAAAGCAACACGCACCCATAGTTGTTTAGGATAGGGGAAAAAGACAGATATAGAGCATAAGTGTAACAGCAGATACACAAAATTGTAGTGTCAGTATCAGAGATGAAAATAACTAGACATTTCAACTGTCAAATAAATAACGGATACTGTAGCATATATTAATATTTATATATAAAGATTAAGGAAGTCACTTTTGGATGTTTACAACCTCAAACTCATTGTGGTTTGGTCGAAAACCACAGCAATATTGCTTTTTCCCAGCAGACATTTTAACATTTATCAAAGCACAAATGGTGTTACAAATGACACTAACATGGCTTTGTATTTAAGTGTCCCTTTAACCCACAATAGCGTGACACTGAACTGGCATAATCAAAACCAGGACCCTGAAATACTTCTTGTTTTTTGCACCTGTGCTTTACTTACGGTGACACAACATTTTTTTACAGCATGTTGGAATAGCTACTGTTTTATCGTTGTACATTTACTTTTTTCTTATCCTAACCTAAATGCATTTTATTTGTTCTGCAGTGAGGGCAGCAACATGACTCCAGCACATCACTACCCAGATTTCCGTCTGAAAACGTACGCACCACTGGCCTTTCGTTACTTCAGAGAGCTGTTCGGCATCAAACCAGACGACTATCTGGTCAGTGTGGAAATCCACCTCGTCATTGTGATGCAGCACGATGGTTGATTCGATTGCAACACTTTCTCACTCTAACACTGTTGCATCATTGTGAATTTCAGTACTCCATCTGCAACGAGCCTCTGATCGAGCTGAGCAACCCCGGAGCCAGCAGCTCCTGGTTCTACCTCACCAGCGACGATGAGTTCATCATTAAGACAGTGCAGCACAAAGAGGCAGAGTTCCTGCAGAAGCTGCTTCCTGGGTACTACATGGTGAGCTCCTTCATCGAAAACCAACTCTTGTTGTGCTTACATGCACACCAGATCACATATTTAGCAAAAGATTGTTCAACGTGAAATATTGGACCTAAAGGTTCCCTGCAGATTCAAATAATTCATTGCTACTCATCAAAAGAATAATTGTATATCCTTAAAGTAAAGGTCCAGTTTGGTGCAGTTCTTTCTTTATTAACTGATTTCTGAATGTTTGAAATGTTGCATCTGTCATACTGTTTTGCTCCCACACTAGAAAAACAAAAGGCTATCTCTGTAATGTTAAAAGTTTATTGTTATACCAAGATATTTTCATTTTATTTCATGAAAATTTGATGTCATTACAACAATAAATGTGTCAAGTTAAAAAAAAAAAAAACGTGTAAAATATATGCTACCTTTTTAATATAATGCTAAGTAACAGTTTCAGTTTTTGCCTGCTTCTTATCAGACCTCGGATTACTCTTCTTTTTTTTTCATGGACTCTGGTACATCTCAAAACTACGAAAACGATAACGATCAATAACAAGCCAAACATTTCTCTATATACAAATATCTTCCTGAACAAAAACTCTGCTTGTGTTTTGTAGAATCTGAATCAGAACCCGAGGACGTTGCTGCCCAAGTTCTACGGTCTTTACTGCATCCAGTGCGGCGGTGTCACCGTCCGAGTGGTGGTGATGAACAACGTGCTGCCGCGCGCCATTAAGATGCACTACAAGTACGACCTGAAGGGGTCCTCGCACAAACGCAGAGCATCACGCAAGGAGCGCGTCAAGTCCTCGCCCACGTTCAAAGACCTGGACTTCCAGGAGATGCATGAGGGCCTGCACTTTGACGCAGACACCTACAGCGCCCTGATGAAGACCCTGCAGAGGGACTGTCGGGTGGGTTCACATAAAGATATACATCTCTTAACATAAGGATGGTTGTAATCAGGGTCTATCAAAACTCAAGCAGAGTCACAGAAGATTGCAGAATATTTCCAAACAATAATCTGGGTTAATTTGTTTTTACACTTCGACTGAAGACACTTTACTCTTCTTCACTTCACTTCACTTCGTCACAATGCTAAAATAATAATTAAAGTGCAAAGTATATGGTTTAACAGAACAAACATAATGTCCAAAAGCTGTTTGATTTCTTAGAAATGTAAAGATTGACCCTCGATTACTCGTAGTGGTAGGGTCATTACAATCAGATTGGTTCATCTTCATGCGAGCAGGAATGTGATAAGAGAAATTCATGAAAATATGACCATCAAAAATTGTGAAATATCTTGCGTCAGAGTAAACATTGTGGCATGAAAGTGGCTCTAGTGAAAAGGTAATTGAGATGAAAAACAAAATGGAGATAGTTTATCCTCTGGGGACCATATATATGTTTACAGAATTATTTGGTTTTCTAGCTAAACAGATGTTTGGCTTACCCTCTCCCAATGCTAGCTAGGGGAGAAAATGTACACCTAAGTACGTTTTCGTTTGCATGCTCAAGGTACAAATCTGTGTCCAAGTACAAGATTATCACAAATAATGATGTGTAGGGCCACTGGGTGTAGGGCCTAATGGGCAGCCAATGGGCTTGGAGGTATGATGGCCTCATTAGCACCTGCTTGTTATTTTATTAGCGTGAAACAACAGTGGTCCCTTGATGGAGGATTAAACTAGCATAGCGAAGCACCTGACTCGCATAATCCGAGCACGAACTGGCCTATTTGGGTGTAACGTGCTCGTGTGGGGCCTCTTTTCATGACCTCAGTTAGTGTTGGGTAACACCATGGAAAAGTAAGGGCCTCTTTGTGTACAGGAGACTTAGTTCATGACATCAGTGTTTGGTCGGAGGGATTGAGGCTCATTTTGTACTGTACTATTGGTTTGCAGATTAAGGCTTTAGCTGGGACCCACTTGGGAGTGGAAGAGGTCACCTTAAAGCTTTACAGCAAGAACACTTTATACAGTATATTTGTGGTTCATATAAGTATAATTTTGTGTTATTTTACCATTTAAAGTCTTGTTTTATTACATGAATCAGCTATTATTTATGAAATTGATCAAATAATTGCACAAATACCCAGAATGTGGAAAATAACAACTTAATTTTGACAGTGTATGACCACATACTGCAACATAGGAAGGTTCTGTTTTGATTTACCCTGAATTTCAAATCTGATAATATATTATTTTCTCACTAAAATAGATTTCTTTATACATACTAAACACACAAGTAATGTAATATGGATGTAGATGTGGGTTGTGCAATACGTCGCAATTGTTAATAAGTTTGTAAATGTTTTAGGAACAAATTTTCCTACGGGACCAATAAAGTAAATCGTATTGTAAACAAGCTTGATGCTACTTTATTGACTCAGCTGGAGGATCTGCCCACAAGACAAAGCTTCTGTCCGAAATGTTTGTTACTGAAAGTTATCATTTCAAAAAGCTCATATCTTTCTCTTTGGTGGTTCCAATGTCGATGAGCAGTAATTGCCAATGAGTTTTGGGATCTGATATGAGTTACATACAGTGTGGACTTTCCTGGGACTGTCACCACAGATACTCATAAGTCTTCATACTACAAATACAAATCTAAGAAATCATTACTTTCCGATTTGTTTTAATTGAACTTTTAGTTTAATAGTTGGAGTTGCTCACCAGTTGTCATCTCTCTGCAGGTCCTGGAGAGCTTTAAGATCATGGACTACAGTCTCCTGCTGGGGGTTCATGTTTTGGACCGGAAGCTTCTGAGCAGAGGAAGTCGATGTGACAGCAGGAAGGGACAGAAAGTCCTCTACTCCACCGCCCTGGAGTCCATCCAGGGGAACACCAAGGCCTCCGAACCTGTGGCGGATGACGACACGTGAGTAACGTTTTTATTCTGTTCTCTTTGTGGACAACTTTCTTTGTTTTTTGAGGGGTTTCATGGCAGGTAATATAGAGAAAATACAGTTTTAAACATCACATTTCAAAGCTTGGTTTCATATTAGAGTTATTTTTGCAGCTATCTCAGAGTAGGTGATATCTTTATTGCATTGTGAAAAAGCATCAAACCTTGTAACATGACGATGTAAATACATGAAATAAAATGTAAGTTAATCATGGCATAATATACTGAAACGGCTCTCTAAACACTTTTATGCTTTAGTTTGTATGTTCTCTGTTTCTTCTACTCTGTTTCTTCTTCCGCTTTTTCAAACACAAACAACTTTCCGATGAACAGTGACCCAACAACAATACATTGTGAAATGTAGGAAGAACAGTCTAAAAAAAAGTTGATTATAATGATGATGATATCCATGCTGATGCCACCAAGAATTAGCTTTACTTTATGTAACAGCTTCAACTATTTTTCAAATAATATATAGGAACAATTTTTAAGTAAATAACTGTGTATTAATCGTTAAAAATCTTGTTTTCAGATTTGGTGGAATTCCTGCCAAAAATAAAGACGAGAACTGTCTCATCTTTTTAGGAATCATCGACATCCTTCAGTCCTACAGGTGAGATCATACAATCACATGATATCTATATCTATTATTCTCTGATGTTTACTGACATCCACATCTCACTTCTAGTTCAGACTTTTTCAGTAAATACAAATGTATTAAAAAAACAAAACAATGTAAATACATAAAAAATGATCACATGCTTTTTAATATTCTGTGTTGATTTATTAGTTAGGAATGTCATTTAAAAAAGGACTGAATTGAATATATAATCATCCTGTGTTTGTCCATCATTATCCTTTTAAAAAATGTGATTTTAATTACATTTTTTGTATTATCGATAGTTTTTTAATTTATACATTTATTAATGGATTTTTTATTCTTTATTTTTAAGTCTTTAATTATTCTGCCTCTTTGTACAGCTTACTCCGGACGAAATAGTATTTGTATGATTACTATAATCAAACAGACTTTTATTGTGTATTTTCAGGTTCATCAAGAAGGTGGAGCACTCCTGGAAAGCTCTTGTACATGATGGGGTAACTGCACATCCTCCTTCTTACTCCATGTTTTTACTATGTCCAACTACATAAATACGTATCTGCAAACGTGTGTGTGTGTGTGTGTGTGTGTGTGTGTGTGTGTGTGTGTGTGTGTGTGTGTGTGTGTGTGTGTGTGTGTGTGTGTGTGTGTGTGTGTGTGTGTGTGTGTGTGTGTGTGTGTGTGTGTGTGTGTGTGTGTGTGCGTGCGTGCGTGCGTGCGTGCGTGCGTGCGTGCGTGCGTGCGTGCGTGCGTGCGTGCGTGCGTGCGTGCGTGCGTGCGTGCGTGCTCTGACATTATTCTTTATTTTCAGGACACGGTGTCGGTTCACAGGCCCGGTTTCTACGCGGACAGATTTCTGAAGTTCATGGGCTCGACTGTATTTAAAAAAATTCACCGTAAGTAAAGATTCAAGGCTTTATTGTCATGTGCACATTAGCTACAGTGTAGATATGGCAAAGAAAAGTCACAGACTCTTCCAACAGTGCAACATGAATATATATATAGAACAAATAAAACAGATGACTCACACATCCTGCTTCCTACTTCCTGCCTCCTGCGATAACAGAAAGATTCTCGCTTTTTGAATCACTCTTTTTTTATGTCCCTCAGCTTTGAGAGGAACATCTTCAAAGAGGAAGAGGACTTCCATGAATGCAGCAAAGTCTGCCTCTCAGGAGTTTCTGTCCCCACACAGGGAGGAGAAGAAGGAGGAGAAGAAGGCCCAAAGTTTGGACAACCTGGATGGAAACTGTAAGCTTGAGAAATGCATCAAATATTATTTTAAAGCAAATGTTTATTGTACTATTGTTGGGAGATGCTTTGCTTGAATCACTGACTGTTTGCTTCAACAGTTTACAGTTCCTCCAAGCAGCCGGATCTCCTTCCGAGAGTTTCTTTCAAGGCAAATGATGAAGAGGAAATTGTTAACAGGTACTTTACTTAAGCAGCACTCATAACTGAACTCTGTGGTTTTAAAAAGTCTGCCTTCCCCAATTGATCACTTAAAACACTATGCAAATACACTTAACTGAGCAAAACCAATAGAAAAAGATGTGAAATACAAAAGAAAATCAGTTCTGTATTTATTTTACAGTATGGAGGTTTTTTTGCGACACTGTTATCAAAATGAAACATGGAGAATCTGAACATGTGTGAGCTTTAAATATTAGAAAAACTTAAGTATTCTGAAATGTACGTTTATTTAATTCCTTGTTTTAGTTTTTTAGTTGTTGAAAATCACATTGGCATCAAAACTTTTTAATTAACAAAATTACCTCTATTTACACTTTTCTGATGTCAAATGTCATCAAAAGAGGAGCTATGAGCAACATTTAGTGTGCTCACTTACATCATTACATTACACAACAACACATTATCCTGTGTTTTTCCTTAGCAGTGAAGAGCGCCGAGCCTCCAGTTCGACCATCGCTCTGGACGATCCTCTGCCGTCTCTCAGCAGGAGTCAGTCGGACTCTGAACTGGACGTCTACTTGGTATGACATTTTTATTTAGTACCTACATTTTGCGTGAAAAACATTTCAGTTATAGGGGCTTGAAAGAAATACCAAAACAAAAATACTGCTGACTTTCTGACCCTAATCTAAAAGCCTGTATTTCTGCCTAAGCAGAAGACAATGAATAATCTAAATAGAAACATAGACCAAGAGATGTTACTATTCATCACCTGCTTACATATTCTGGTCTATCGTTTGCTGCTTTTCCAACATGCAATTTCTTACATTTTCCTCAAGCTTTCTTCTCCCGTGGTGGTCGAGCCCCAGAAGCCCCTGTGACGTCTGTACAGCATGACTCAGCCAAACACTTCTCTTACATAACCACAAATCCTCGTTCAGGCTTATGAAGCTGTTCTTCAGCCCACATTAAGCAGTCTGTTAGGCTCTGTTGGAAGCCTGGAGACATTGACTTAATCGGATCTTAAATCCTCTGACAGAAGACAGAGGGATTCAACACTATAGCGAGGGACAAAAGGAAATATATAGGCTTTGGATTTCTCTGACAGCCATTTTGCCCTATTTTCTTTAACTGGTTGCTCAGAGGCATGATGTGCACTTTCCAAGATGTTCTACCTAAAAAGATCCATAATATTGTTTTTGCAGGCTTTACACATGAATTACTTCTGTACACACTTCACATTACTGCTGACCATTATCCAAAGCTGATTTAGTGTTTTAAATATTGGAATATGTGCTTCCTTCTTTGCAGGGGGCCAATGGTTTTCAGTCATTTCAGTAAGGTATGAAAATCATTATGTAGATACATCAAATTGCCTGAGCATTATAATACATACTATATTACCTTTTAAAGACAGCCTATAGGAAACATTATTTGTGAACCATGCATCACCCGAAGGGTACAAAATAAATGCATTCAAATAAATGTATGTCTTGCGCTTGTTCTGAATAATTTAGCAACAAGTCAATTTACAATTAACATGAATTTCCTACCAAAATGTCACTTTAACATTTGATCCTATCAGACATTTTTGCAAAATTGTCGTAATTAGCCCAAAAGGTGTTTTCTGAGGCCACAGTGAAACTGGCCTAACGTCCATATGTGCGAGATGTTGGTGAAAAACTTAATTTCATGAGCAGAGACAGGCCTGTGGAATATAAAGAGGAAACACTGCAGGATGTTTTGGAAAGTGGTCAGCAGTAATGTCGCACAAATTGGGAAAAGGGAGGTTTTCAACACACTGAATATAACAACCTTACAAAAGTTAAAAAAGGCAACAATTGGAAAAGGGCAATTTTGAGAAGATATCCATGTCAAGAAGAAACAGGCTCCACCGTAAATCAAAACATAATGATTCTATATACAGTATAACAAGGAATTAATTGGAAAACACCTCATTATCCCACAAGAAGGCCATATAAAAACACAAAGAAATCAATAAACTAATACAAAATAAGGGTATCCCTAATATATTGAGGTGTAAGCATACAGACATGCATACCCAGGTTTTAAGAACAGGCCAGACTAAATCTAGCTACTAAATTTAAGACCAGAACATGATCCGAGGCCCAAAGCTATATTTCTGCTTTAATTAATCTACTATATAACTGACCATTAGCATACCAGGCTAACACTATGTTTTCAGTTACACACAGACGTCTGTGGCAGTCAAGACAGAGGGGGGGGATTTCTTTTTTAATAACTAAACTTCTCATCAATAAACACAGGTGACAACATTTTTTGACAAGTGAAGGTGATTTGGGGTAGTGGGGAAGCCTCTTGTGGCCAAAGGGAGTGTTACAATGAACTAGTATGATAGTCAAACTTAGTACAACTATAATAATAATACTAATAATAATGACAATAAACAGGACACAAAAATAATTCGAACATTTTTCACCAACCCTTTTGTCTTATTTGCCTCTCAGGGCTTCCGTAGGTTTGTATGATTTCGCAGCCAAGTTAATTAATAGAATAGAATAGAATATATCTTTATTGTCTTCCAACAACATTTCTTTGGCAACTCTCACTGCAGTAAAAAATAAACACAATAAATAAATAAGAGTGGTGAAAGCAGAGGTAGTAGAGATGACAATGCAACGAGATAAAATTCAATGTCAATGTGCATATTTACACTTACAGTCTAAATATATATTAGTAAAATAGCCATAAGTATGTCTAAATAGTAGTGATGCAGTAAAGCACTGGGTTTAGGTGTGCAACCACAGTGACATGCAAATGATAAAAACGAATTGCATATAGCAAGATTACAAAAGTTAAACAGCAACATTTGGACAAGACCAAATTGGGAAAACATAAATTGAAAGAAGAAAAACCCCATTATCTCACAAGTAGGTCACTGGCATAACAACGCACAATAATCACAGCAGTGGAAGCAGATAGTGAGCAACTCAAATCCCAGTTGGGTGCAAGTGTGGAACTAGAAAAGGGATATTGATAAGTTCTCACCTGCCTCTATGGGCTTCTGTACAAAAAACAAGCAAACGGGAAGTTATAATCGTATTATTGTACATTTGGTTATGCGTACCATGAGCGGGACAAATAAAAATGAAAATGAAATGAAATAAAATAATGTAACTTTTGAACCCTAACCTTTTGCCCGGTAAGCGTGTTCAGTCGTCCTTCTATGACTAGTTTGTAAATGTTCAACTCTTACTTAGTTTCGAAAGTGACAGGGGAAAATAATCTTGTTTTTATTTTTCTTGTAGTGAGGATCAACCTGGACTTCTGAATTTTGACCTCCCAGTCCTACGATGTCACATCAGGACCTCACAACAGTGTAAATGTGTCACCAACTCTGTGCCTTTCCTTTTTCAGTCAAAGTTGATGTGCCTAATCGCTGGCTCTTTTGTAGGCATCCCCTACTTTACAGATACAGTCACTGATCCACTGTGTCACTGCTAAACACTATGAAGCTGTTTCTTCTCCTGTTATTTGCACTCTGCTGCTAATTTTACAACAGTGCTAACAAGAAAATTGACTTTGACTTCTTCTTTTGGACGTCTGAATTTCTGTGCAAATCTTTGAATATTCTCAGCGGCTGGATCCCTGAGGAAATAGATTGTCTTAAAAATCAAATGCAGGGAAAATAATGATGTTATTTTCAAATTATATTATTATAAAGAGCCGTGTTGTCTGGAATCTGAAAGAAAAATTAATCTATTGATACATTCAAATGTGTGTTATAGTGTTTATACCCTTATAAACATCATGTATATGTGATTTTAAAATCCCAATTTGCTTAGGCCAATATTAGCCTATATACTTATTAATATATTCTATATGTTGTGTGTATTTTTTTCTTCAAATATGCAGAATCTGCTGCCACGTTGACAAACAAGTATTTGCTTATTTTGTGGTTAGAACAAGATGTTTTAATTTAATATTTTATTACTACCTTTACCTTTCCCTGTGTCTTTTATTCTCTGGAGAATGTTTTCATCTCCACTGGGATTTATTCCATCCTGGAAGTGAATAAGTACTATGTTATTTGTTTTGTCATCTTTTTGCTTTTAAAAGAGTGCTTTTATGTGATTTATAGGACTACAACTGTATTATAGCAATACTTCCAAATTGTGTTTGTGAAATAAATCCAATGTCCTAAAAAAGTCACTGTCTGTTCCAAATTATAATTTAGTATTTGATTTCTTTAAAGGGGACCTATCATGCAAAATGCACTTTTGTACGTCTTTTATACATGAATAGGTGTCCCTGGTGTTCCAGGGAACTCACCAAGTGTTAGAAAACACAACCCTCTCTATTTTCCTCCATACCCAAATCTCTAAAAAAGGGGCTGCAACGGATCTGATAAAAACTGATCCAGATTTGAACACTGTCCTGACGTCAGGACGGTGGCGCTACGGCTATTGGGCCAACTCCACCAATCAGGAGGAGACAGCCACGGACATTGCCGTTCGAAAGCGCTGGAGACGCTGTAGTACATATGCCAGGCCTGTAGATGGTGCTGTTCTGCCCTTATCTGCCCTTACAAACACAGAGCTAAAAAATGTCAAATTGAGCAAAATGAGGCATGGCTAAAATGCATGATCTGTTTGGTATTTTGCAAAACAAAAAGTACAAATATGCCTTATATAGGTATGGTCCTACACTATATTATTCAAATATAGCATGATAGGTCCACTTTAAATGAACTTCCCCTCCATATTTTCCGCACTCTTGTGTTTACGGAAGTAAAGAAATATCTCGGCTGTGATTGGTTGTTCCTCGTTACATGACAAGCGGTGCAGCGCGCACGACGAGGAACAACCAATATACTCCGTTCCAAAAGTGTAATGTGGTTCAACCAGGGCCTGGCGTCCCTCTCCCGTCTCAATTGAAATGAATGGGAGGGAGCTTGCATAAAACGCTCATGAGTACGGCCCCTGTTATGCTTTCATAACCCATGCTGTTACCTAGCAACGCAATTCTGTTGAGATATTTATCAACAGAATTGCGTTGCTAGGTAACAGCATGGGTCTTTTTTTTACTTCCTGTTAGCTAATGTCATTCACTCCTTATTTGGAAGAGAACGTCCTGATGTCAAAATGATGACATCATCTTTGGCCTTGAAGTTGAATTCTGAAAATTCACCAGGTGGAAATTAACATTATAGGCTTAAAACAGATCCACATTTTACTCATTTTAACAAAACTCACCTATACACTTATCACACATTAACTGTTTCATTGGTTTGAATAGAAGTAGTAATGGCAAGTTACGCAGATTCAGCAGAGGAGGACCTAGAGGTGAATGCTACAATTTGTGAAGGAAATTCCTGCAGCAGAATGTTTTCAGCGGAACAAATACCTGAAATTGTTGCATTGTTTGAGGAGGCAGATGAAGATGGTGGTGGAGGTTTGGATATGGAAGAATTTTGTGTTTTGTTTGAAAGGAGTTACCCTTCTGTTAAGAAGGAGGAACTTAAAGTCCTACATATGCAGATAGATACCAACTGTGACGGTACAGTGGACCTGGGAGAGCTTTTAGACTTCTTAATAGCTAAGGGCAACGCATCAGCAGGGTTGGACTTTAAAAGACCATTCCCTAAACCTGTTGAATTTATACCTGTGGGTCACTATAAAGAAATTGTTCGTGTGATCTTCCGACCCTTCGAGGACATCGAACCTGATCATGGTTTCCGAGGTTTAAACGAAACCAGAACTTACCAGAGAGGCCAATATATCTCTGTCAGCTCGGATGGTGCACTCACCTTCTGGACGGACAGCTGTACAAATCCATTCACCATACCTCTATATGTGAAAGAAAATGCACTTCCTTTTTCACACCACAAGAAAATGTGTGTTAAAGACATGCTGTACATTCAAGAATTGAAACAGCTGGCTATCTCCACCTCTGACAGAGAGCTGTTATTCTATAACTGCACTGAAATACCCTCGCTTTGTTCAGTTAACCACTCTCTGATTCTAGAGGAAATCATTGTCAACACCATGAACTACTGGTCAAATGGCACTAAAGCAATGTTTTCATTTGGTGATGTAAAAGGGTTTTTGACTGTTTTCATCTCCTACAACGTAAAGAAAAATGGCCTCTTCAACCGTGACGCATTTCAAAAAATCTCTCTGCAGGATTATCCTACAGTGTACGTTTCCAACCTTCTAAACAACCATTCCCAAGACTTTCTTTGTCTTAAAGTCTCAATTTTTAGTGACATATGCAGCCAGATCCAATACTTTCCGGTTCTTAACTCATTTGCCATTTGCGGAAGTTTATCCAAGACAATGGTCCTTGCTGCCCTACCAAACCCACCCAAAACCACTTTTTCGAAAGCAATCTTTAAGAGCAGGGGAGATGAGGAGTTTTTCACCTGTGTTGAATACTCTCCTTCCGCTGAGGTATTGTTGACTGGTGGTACAGATGGCTTACTACGGTTGTGGTTACCCCACAAAAAAGATTCCTGCCAAAAGTCTTTGGTCGGACACGTCAGGCCCATTACAAACATTGTCGTAAACAGAATGGACCGAACTGTCATCACTTTATCTGATGACAAAATTGTTTGTGTTTGGTCTCTGAAGAGATTGGAGTGTAGACAAAGCATCCAGATTCAAGGCATGAGACCAGCTCGCATCTCCAGTATGTTTTACAACATACTTAACAATGATTTAGTCCTGGCTAACACAGATTTATTAAAATATTTTGGTAGGGGAACAGATGTTTTTAAAGAGACATTAACATCCCATGACAAGCCCCTGTGCAATGCTCTCTATCACAGCATTTACAAAAAGGTAGTCTCTGTTTGTCAAAAAGGTGAGGCTACAGTTTGGGATGTCTTAACAGGAATGGCTGTCATGCAGTTTGAGGTCACTCCATATGGGGGGCACACTGCCATTGCATTTGATATACCACAGCGTAGACTAATCACAGTTTCCAAGGACGGGAAATTAAAACTGTGGAACTTTATCAATGGACTTTTGCTTGAAGATTTTCCTGTTACCTTGCCAAGTGAGGTGACAGGTATTGTCTGCATGGACGATAGTGTGTTTGTGTCGGGAAGGAACTCTAACAGAATCTTTGTCTTGGATATGGAGGGTTATGACAACAGATTTTTGGAACATGATTATTTAGATGACATTTGCTCAATGGATGTGCACGAAACAACACTTCTTGCTGCCTCTTGCAATGGAAATATTGTAATGTGGGATGTCGGATCTAGGGAGGTTCTCTACTGGCTGAATGGCAGCCAGAGCCCTCGAACTTGCATGACACCAATAAGGGGCAGGACAGGGTGTTTACCTGTTGGGAAGAAACACAAAGAAGAAACTGGGAGGAAACACACTGATGTGAACACTGGTCCTATTGTTTTATGTTTAAAGACAAGGGAGGTCAATGTGCACACAGCCACACTGCTGACTTCTGCTGATGGCTTTATAAATGCCTGGTCGGTAAAAAGCAAGGGAGGTTTGTTAGGGAAGTTCAGGGCAGTGAATGATGAAGATGCAATCATTACCACGATGTCCACTGATGTCAATGAAAAAATATTGCTGACTGGGGATAGTACCGGCATGATTTGTCAATGGGACATTCAGAGATTTGGATTTAAAGAACAGGCAAAGACAGGGCCATTTGAACACATAAACGGGTGGCGCGTGTCATTGTGTCCACCTCCTCTGTTGGGCACCTGGCAATCTCACCTCTCAGGGGTGGTGAATGTACAGTTTGATTCTGACTGTCAAATAATTATTACTGCAGGGTCGGACTGCAATATCCAGCTGTGGAAAAACACAGGTGACCACATTGGATTATTTGGGAAAGACGAATGGGATGCTGATGCAAATAAAACTGCACAGAAGGAAAGAAGACCAGTGTCAGCAGGAAAGGGAAACTGTCAGTTACCATTTAAGTATTTCAGGCCAGAAAATAAATTGAAGAAAAAACAGGAAGATAACCTCTACGACAAAATTGATGAACTTCTTTTCCTACCCCGGGATGATCTAACTGATGATGAGATGGACCGTATGTATAGACGGTTAATGAAAATACAACCAAGTATTGACTCAGTAAATGAGAAGTTCAAACAACAGTCCATACGCTCTGCACAGCAATGTGCTAGTGTGGTCCAGAAAGAGGCCGAACACACGTCTAAAGTGCAGCTCCCGAATAGTAAGAGTTCATTCAAGCCACACCCGCCCCAGAGCCCGCTCATCAGAGGCGAGACAGCACACCCATGTTTGAAAAAGCCTGGGTCTAAAAATGGTCGTGTGATCAAGTATCAGAATAAACACACATTACAAGGCATGGTCCTAACACCTCGTCCACCTGACATCGTGCCAAGCAAGCAGCGGTTTGAGCTAACAAAAAAGCTACGGTTTCCTCCCGCATTCTTGTAAATAGAAAAAAAAAAACTTTTAATTACCTTCTGCAGATCACAATACATCCTCAATCATGTCATCTTATCTCAGCTTGTCGTTTTTGGTTTTCTCCGGGTGCTCCGGTTTTGTCCCACATTCTTCTAAATAGAAAAAAAAACACTTTTAATTAGTCCTACCTTCTGCAGATCACAATACATCCTCAAACATGTAGTTTTACTCTCTAAAAAACAACATTATACACATATTTATTATCAGCCAACATAAATCAATCAATCAATCAATGTTTATTTATATAGCCCAATATCACAAATGTTACATTTGTCTCAGTGGACTTCACAGTTTGTACAGAATATCAGTATGACAATATGATATAGACCCTCACATCGTACAAGGAAAAACTTCCGGAGAAAACCCACAGTTTAAAGGGAAAAATGGGAGAAACCTCAGGGAGAGCAACAGAGGAGGGATCCCTCTCCCAGGACGGACAGACGTGCAATAGATGCCGTGTGTAAATTGAAAAGATAATACATTTGCAACATAGGTAGTCCAAATGTTTGGAAATGCATGTGTCTTAAACTGTTTTCACATAGCAAAAACATGAACTGCGTTCGCTAAAGTTTGTCAAGCGTATCGTATCTTATCTCAACTTTGATTGTCATTTTGGGTTTACTCCGGGTTCTCAAGATTCAAGATTCAAAGGTTTGTTGTCATATCATTTACCCAACTACTGTGCTTCTCCAGATGGCTGAATCCAGCATTTATGTAGCAATGCACACAGTGAAGGT